TGTTTTGATGAATAATTAAATGAATGGAGTGCTGAAAGGCTACTAGGAAGGAATGTCCAAGCGGGAAAGGGCTCCCTGAGACCTGGAGAAATGGAGGGAGAGCTTTTGGAAATGACTCACCAGCCCTGAAGGACCTGTAGTTATTGACTACACTGAGGAGAATGGGAAAGATTTCTTTCAAGAGAGAGACGTGGGGGCTGGGAGGAACGGGGTAGAATGGAAATGCAGCTGAAAGTTTAAAAAATATTTCTTTAATAAACATCTTTTGAGTGTTCATTTCTCACTTCCCTCTTCCCAACCCTTGTTTGCTGCTGCCTCTTCCCACCCACCCTTCTCCTTGATATTGTGATTCTTTTAAAACAGGCTGGGAAAGGGCTGCATTTTAAAGCCTCTGTTGCCTGCCAAGTTGTGTTCCCAAGTTCTCCAAGCTCCACATGCAGCCAGAATAACTTTAGGGTGAAGCTCATTAATAATGTGCATGGAAAATCACATCCTCTGTCGGAGGCCTGCAGAGGGGGGCTCTGCCCCCGTCATCTGGCTTTCAGGAAAGGCATCTCACAAGTAGGCCACCCTGTCCCCAAGCCTGAAGGTGTGGAGCTGTCCACACAGGTGAGCTGTGCTGAAATTTCTCCACCTAAGATGGGGCTCAAATGGAGGAGCCTGGTGTCTTCAGATCTAGGTGCTTCCTGGCCATGGCTCTTGACTTCAGTTTCCCGGATATCCGTCATCATGAAAAGGGGATTTCCAACAGCAAGGCACATAGTGTGAGTAGGCCCATTAGTTATAATTAAACAGTCTGCTGCAATGATTATAAATAAGTTTAGCACCAAAATGATTGTGCAGATATTCAGAGCCATAGTAGCGGTCTTCAGACACGTCAACAAGGCTTTCTTCCCAGCAGAGTCTGGAGGAGTTGGAGGAGGGCTTCATCTACCCTGAGGATGACCACACGGTCTCAAGGGGCAGTAACTCAGCTTGTCCTATGACTTTGGAAAAGATGAATACACTTGTTTGTGTGGGAAAGATGGCCACGGCTGTTTTTGTCGCCCAATGCAGAGTTTGCAAACAGAAATGAAATTTTGCCAAACCCTTCTGTTTGCAAACCAAATTGTTCACAAACAAAAATGCTCGTGAAGCAAGGTGCCGCTGTGTTTCTCAGGGGCAGATGCAGCTTGGTTGAGCTCTTCCTGACCTGGGATCATGGTATATCTACCTTTCCTGGCACTGGGGGACTGTTTCCTTCTGCTGTGTTCTGAGTGCACTTGCATTGCCCGTCTCTGGCTGCTTCCTAGGAGGGGAAGACGAGTACTCTTTGGAGAAGGATTTCTCTGTGATCCTGCTACTTTCAGTGCCTGGCTCCTGAATATTTGCGAACCGTGTCCATGTGAATGCCACCCCCCTAACCTGGAAAACATCTGGTGGTCCCTGGGCACAGCCATCCTCTCAGGCCACTGAATCTCTGGGGAGCTTGTGGCCCATGTCCCATGGCACCAGCGTGGCTGTTTTAGTGTGTGTTCCCAAGGCTGAGTCGCTGTGCCTTTGACAACTTCTAGATCCTGAGCAGCCAGAGATGGAAGAGCCAAGGGCTTCATTGGACTTCCTGAAATGGGAACAGAAAACCCGGGGAGGGAAGGAAGGGGTACGAAGACCAAAACAGAAACTAAACTGGGAGAGGACTGACTGGTCAGTGACAGGCAGATCCCCTGGCAGGGTGTGGTGAAAAAGGAGGAAAGATGATTATTTACTGTGAGAAGAGCCAGCATGGAGCGAGCGGCCTGGCTGCAGATTGTGCGTTGTCCTGAGGTGTCCTATCTACAGCGTGGGGCTGATGGCATCACACCCCTCCTAGGACTGTAGTGACAGTTGTGATGGTTTCCGTGAAGTGCACAGAACAGGATGTGTACCCTGCAAAGGCTACTTCGTTCTGTCATCAGTTTGGTCTCCGTTATCCTCAGGTCTGCTGTAGTCATGGCCCTGTGCACTAATACTTGTGCACACATCCTTGGAAAACTTTAAAAAATTTAGGAATCTAATATACTGAAAAGTGCGCAAAGCACAAGTGTTGAGGTCAAGACGTGATCAGTGAAGTGAATAGCCGGGTCAAGCAACAAGTCGGACCTTAGAAGATTTTCTAGTGGCCCCTCTCGCTTGTGCATAGGTAACCCTCCTCTAACTTCTGAGGTATCGTTAGGGTCTGCTCATTGCACACACAGGGTAGTGCAGTGTACACATCCGTGCTGTGATGTGAAGGTTTGTGGCTCTCTGAGATTCCTGTTGAAATCTGATCCCGGTGCCACAGGATCAGGAGGTGAGGCCTTGGGAGTTGATCGCGCCGTGAGGAGTCTGCCCTTAGAAGGACTTGAGTGCCTTGAGAAGGGCTCCAGGAGACGAGTGAGGAGACGAGCACCTCCTGAGGGCGCCACAGAAGGCAGCGTCTGGGGGACAGCAGCCCTCGCCAGGCCCGACTGTGCTAGCACCTGATCTTAGAGCAGCCAGCCTCAGGAAATGTAATATATTTGTGCGTGTGTGTGCGTGTGTGTGTGGGTGGGTGGGGAACCTTCCAACCATAAGACTGAATTCCTGAATTCTGATATTATAAAACAGCCAGGATCTATCTATTGGACATTTTGTTATAGCAGCAACAAAAGACATCTTACATGGATTAGGACTGTCCCTGTGAGCCTCTGACACGCCTGCTTCTGGAATTCACTCTTATGGTTGGAAGGTTTTTTTTTTTTTTCTTCCACATAAACTTGTATATATGTGTTTATTTTTAAAAAATTTAGTAATTTATTACAGCAAAAGACACATCGCATTTAATCCCCCTCCAAATACTTTTCCTAACTTTACCTCTGCTTTGCATATTAGCAGCGGCCCATCCCTTTTCCTCACTGGCGGAATTCCCTTGCTTACAAATTGCACACTGTTTATTCTACTGTCTTTGTGGCAATTTGTCTGCTTTGAGTTTTTGACTATTAGGAGTAACAGTAATTTGAACATTTTGTACATAGTAACTGGTGTACATTTATGCTGAATTATAAAAACTGCGTTTGTCTAACTTCAGTAGGTGATGCCAAATAAATGTTCTAACTTTTCACACCAATTTATGATCCCATGAAGCAGGTTTAAGCCCAGTGTGTAAGTATCGGTCACTTTCTAGTCACACTGACAGCTGGTATTGTCCGTGCTTCCGTTTAGCATCCTAGGGATTATGCAGTGACAACTTTTTATTCTCTGAGTTTACACTTCCTTGATTACCAATGAAATCAGGCATATTTTCATCTTGACTATTTGGATACCCTTTTTTTGAATGCTTTTTCAAGCCTGTCATGTATTTTTCTATTTTGAAAATCTTTGCATTGATCTGTGGAAATTTTTATAAATTCTTATATAGAAACTATTGAAAATGTGTCATAATAAGTTTTTTTTTTTCACTCTGAAAGCTAAGTTTAAACTTTAGATTTATCTTAAGTAGTAATATTTGTGAATTTATGAGTTTGATATGTTATTTTTTTTCTAAAACGAGTATTGATTTTAGATCAAAGGTTTGTCCCTGTTCCACTTAAAATTTTCCTGTACTGCTAATGACCCTCTTTACCACCCTTTGGGAGACACTCCATGATCTCGTTTAACCTTCCCCGAAAACCATTTGTGCCAGTGTTCGCTATGCTTTTCTGATTTAGCACAGGAAGCACTGGGAGATTTCATGACCCACTGAAGGGCACAGAACTGACATGAAGACCCAGCAGCTCGTTTTATCACCTGTCTCATACACTGGATTCTGGGGAGATCTGCCTTCCCACCAAGCTTTCTATTAGTGGAGCCCTCAGCAGGTGTGTACAGGATAGATACAAAGGTTGGTAGGAGAATGGGTTAAGGATGAATGGACTGGTGGATGGATGGGTAAACGGATGAATCGGAGCGGGGACGGACGGGTGGACGGATGGGTGGGTAGATAGATGGGTAAGTGGATGGATGGCTAGAGTTTTGGCTAGAAGCTGGAGGCATGAAAGGGTCCCACGGGAAGCTGTGTTTTACAAAGGCTCTGTGTTTGCAAAGAGCCTGTCTCAGACCAGGCGCTGGGCGTGTGGAAGCCTGCAGCGCACCTTCACTGTAGCTGTCATGTTGGCCCCTCTGTCTTTAGTGACTGCACAGAAGAGAACGGTGAGAGCAGAGCTGTGGCTAATGCGAGGACACAGCAGTCCTGCCCTGCCCGTTGGCCAGCGGTATGTTCCTCTTCCTGGCTCTGTCTAAATGTCCTGAGCAGGGCTGGGGGCGGGGAGGCTGGCCTTGGCTGTGATGTTCGTATCTCTGGGGGAAGAGGTGTCCTCTGTGCTTTTAGGAGCCGAGACTGGGCTGACGTGAAGATCGAGCTCGCGTGGTGGGCATGGATCATGTTTGTTCTCACCTCGCTGTGCTTTGCTTTGCCCAGTGGAATCTGCCCTGGTTTGCTGGAACATTCCATGGAAAGGGTGGCACATGGGGCTCTGTCTAATGACACTGGGGGCCACTGCCACCGGGAGAGCCCCAGGAGGGGTGGGTGCCCATGAGTGCTTGTGTTTCTGCTGTAAATCTCCTCTTGGACTGGCAGTCGAACCTTTTTAATAATACTAAGTAGCCACTGGCACCTTTTTTCATGCCAAGTGCCGGTGACTTGCTCTTTTGGATCCTTTCTGAATTCTTGTCTAGGAAAGTGCTTGTTGTATTTAATAAGTTGCATTGATTTATTGCCTGTATTGATCCGTAGAAGCACTCTGTATTACCAGAGGCGATAGCCTTCTTAGGGAAACACGGAAGGCCTCTTCATTAACATCCATTTTTCTATGCGCTCTGGAGGTGAAGTACCGAGATGCACTGTTCCTTCCCGTGATGTATGGAGCAGCAACAGGGTGAACGATGACTTCGGTATCAGTCAGATGGAAGGGAGAATTGAGGCCGTGCGCCATAGGCTCATCGGAGTTTTTGTGATGAAACGAGCAAGCTACTTTTCTTTCTTGCAGTGATGACAAACTCCTCTCAGTTCTCCACGGAGAGCAGCGGGAGCTGAAGTGGCTCTTTCGGGAGAGATGAAGCCTCCACAGCCAGAGCAGTCTGGATAGTTTTAGCACACGCCAGGAAGGCCTGCATTGTGACTGCAGGTAAATCACTTGCTGCGTTTGTGCCCCTGCTTCTTGTCCACTTCGGTTTGTGCCCCGGCCCTCACCCCTGACGTGCTGTCCTTTTCTCTCTGCATTTTTCCTTACACCCAGCTGGGCCTGGGACTGGTCCTGGGGCTTACTGAGGCAGCCAGCCCTGTGCATCAGAGAGGAACCCGGATGAGCGTGAGCGAGACCCTGAGAACCCGGAGCGCCTATGGGTACTTCTGTTTCCGCCCTCTGTTTTGCTGGCCTCCTCTGTCCAGCGTAGGCTTTTCTCTTTCTCCTGAAGAGGCCAGCGCAGCTCAGAACCCATCTCTGCTTGACAACTGCAAATCCTTTCAGTGTATGTGTTTGTCAAGCATTCAAGGCTCCCTGGATCTTTTCCACATCTGGCAAGAAGCAGAAAGTGTGCTGCGGGGACATCTACAGAGTATGCCCTCACTCGGGAAACGGGAGCTCACACCACCTGTGGGGATCAAGGACAGTTCCTAGTTTGAATCTAGCCCCGGGCTGTGTGACCTTGGGCAGATTACTTAGCTTCTCTGAATTTGGGGTTATCCCTTATTTGCATAATAGGACTAATAATGCCAAATTCCAAAGATTATTTCAAGGACTAGGTGAGCCAATGTTTGCCTAGTGCTTAGCGGCATGTGACACATAATACCTGTTCAAACAATGGCAGCTATAGTTATTAAGTGAAGTTTTTCCAAGCGTGCCTGAAGCAGGCAGCGCTCAAAGCTGTGGCTTGCAAGGTCTCACGTTCTCTGTAGGCTCTGGAGTGAAACTGGAAGGAGAGAGACACAGCCCACCTGCAAGGAGCTTATTGTTTAGTGGGTGAAACCACACCAGGAGGTGCCCCAGGGAGCGCAGAGAGGGGAGGGAACTCTGATCCAGGGGAAGATGTGGTGCTGGTCTCCTCGGGAAGCCTCCGTGGAAGACGGAGGGGAAGGAGCTGAGGCACTGCTGGAAGCTGCCCGCTCCCAGAGCAGTGGTCCTTCCTGCAATTCTCTCCACCCTGCAGACGTTGAGGGGGAAAAGCTCTTCACCCCCACGGGGGTCCCTGTAAGATCCAGCGTTGCTCTCCCGGGGAGGATTTGCAGTACTAGGAGGGTGCGCCCCCTAGAGGCAAGTTTGTGCCTTTGGCTGTTTCCATAATAGTGCAGGGAACATTACATTTTCCACACAAAACAATATCTGTAATTAGTTGAGATTGCAGCAAACATTGAAATCTGCCATCCTCTGTCACTTGGAGGTGTCCTGGGTCTTTGCTGTCTTTCTCTCACAAGCTGAGGACTGGCTCCCAAGGAGGGTCTCGGGCCACCCACCCTCCTGCCTGGGGCGTGAGTTGGGCCTTGCATTCAGCAACTGGCCCCCTCTTGAAGCCATGTCCAGTCCCTGGTTCTGGGATCTCCTCCTCTGGTCTGCCTGTGCTACCTATCTGATAATCTATGCTGTCCTTATCTTCCGAGGAAATGCTGCCCGCTGATAGCACACATGGAATCGATTAAAAGCAGAACTTTGAACTCATCTGTTTGGAGAGGTCTCCGTGGAGTATATCTCTCAGCCATCCCTTAACGCTGTCCCGATGCCAGTCCAGCAGCCCCAGCTGCAGTGCAGAAGTGGCTTTGCTCTCTTGCAGGGCAAGCAGAGCTTGTATTTATACATTCAGCACATTTATCCACACGAAAATCGACTTCTGCCACATATTCCCTTTCTACTTTTTTTTTTTTTTTTTTTTTTTAGCTCAGTCCAGTCAGAGCCACAACCAAGTTTTCATTTCTGTCCCTCTTTTGGTTTTGATTCTGCTTTTTTTTGGTACCAGGGATCAAATTCAGGTCCTTGTGCTTGCGAAGCAGGCAGTGGAACCACTGAGCTAAATTCCCAGCCCCTGATTCTGTGTTTTAATCAAACATTTACCATTTCTCATCCATTGTGTTTTCTCAGAGAGCAAGTCCTGCTGCCCAAAGATTTGCACCTGTTACAATCTTCCCAGCTCTCCATGGGTGGGAGGCAGAGGTGTAGGAATGGATCTCCACATTCAGAAGTGAGGCTGGACAAAGGAAGAGTCCAGGAGGTATGTGATCAAAGGTCCACTCTGCACTCGGATAGCTGGGGACTCAGGAATCCTAAAAGGAAATCATATGACTCAGAGAAGCCAGGGTGGTTCCTGTCAGAGCCCTGGGGCTGGAGTTGGGACTGGAGGAGACAGGAAGGACCAGAACAGGCAAGGGCAGCAGAAGGAGTGCTTCACAACCAGATAAAGCACAACAGTGCAAGGAAGCATGTGCAATCAAGGAGACGGAGACAGGAACTGCCAGGATTCAGGGGCTGCTTATTGTCAAGGGAGTGACAGAGCTGACTGAGGCTGAGGGCTCAATTTTCCAACCATCCTGGCTGGGCTGTGGTGCTCAGTTGTTTGAGCAAACACCAGTCTCCATGTGGCTGTGAAGGCAATGTTTAGATGTAACATTTGAAGTACAGATGGTCTTAAGAGTGGATTACTGGCCATCCCGTGGAGGGCCTCATCCACTCATTTAAGGGCCTGACTAGCACAAAGACTTTTCCCAAGAAGAAACAGAATTTGTAAGACCATAACCTAGAACTTCTGCCCGAATTTCCAGCCTCCTGATTTTAGGAATTCAAATGCAAGACTGAAATATCAAGTTTTTTTTTTTTTTGAGTATGAAAAATTTATTGAGAGAGAGATAGCTTCTGCCTAAGAGAGACAGAAGGGGGACCGGAAAGTAGATTGCCCACTCACTCAGCTTCTCAAAGGTGTTTTCTGGGACAAAGCCATGGAGTGAGGTGGGTTCCAAGTGGGACAAAACTACAGTCAACTAGTAAGATTACAAGTGTAGTCATAGGTAATATTGATCCAATGAGAAATCACAAGGTGGACAAAACCATGAATAACCAATAAGATTATGATGAGTATAGTTGCTTAGGTAATACTGATCAAATGGGGATCCAATGGGGAAACAAAGCACATAGCAGCAGACAAGGAATAAGCGAGGATTTTGGGTAGTAAGGGGTAGGTCAGGGATCTTTCTTGGAAGATCTTGCCCCCCAACCAAGTAACTGACAACTATTTGGAATATCAGCCACTGCTATTCATCCTTAGGGGAAGCACATGCATGTGGTAGTTTCTCTTTTATAATGTTGGCCTTCAGTGAATGTGTCTTATTGTCCTCCACGTTGGTTCCTCCATGGCTGGCCCCATCTAACTGCCTACAAGATATCTACTTAGCTTAACTATCTACAACATTCCCACCTCTGAAGAAGCACCCCTGACTGCCATAAGAAAGCAAGAGGTGAAGACCATTCAGGCTGCTCCCAGCTGAAGAGGGTTGTAGTTGTGATTGGCAGTCAGAGTTACTCTCCAGAGGGTCCATCTAAAGGCCCTCGATAGGCACCAGCCACTGTCATCTTGGGTAGCTGTATAGCTTTGAGTCTGGAGGAGACAAAGCCAAAGAAGCAGTTAAGAATACACGGCCATAATAAGGTCAGCAGGATTGCTATGAATGTAGCCAACAAGGGTTTCCCCCAGGAGGAACTAGTGATATCCTCTCACAAAGCGGACAAGGAAAAGGTCAAGGGGACTTCAGACACAGAAGTTGTACTGTGGTTTAGCTGTTATGAACTTTTCTCAAGGTCCATCTGCTGGATCCTGGTAAATGAAGTCTAGCATTTTCATCTTTGGTTTCATTTGTATGACCGCTTGGAGTTTGGCAGCCTCTCCATCCAATAATCTGGGTGGAAGACCTCCAAAATGATGTAGGGGGAATAGATGAAACTCCAAAACCTGGTAGATATTTGAAACTTGAGTTTGTGTTCTCTAAAATTGAAGAATGAATTCTAGGAACAATAGAGGTTTAAGAGTAGGAAAGTTTATTGAGAGAAAGATAGTTTCTGTCAAAAAATAAAACAACAGGGTAGCTGTGGGAGAAGTTCAAGCCTGGCTGGGCCAGGTGCACTGCACTCCCGTCTCCTGAGCTAACTCGGAGACCTTGCTAAGGCTGAGCTAACTCGCCTAAGTGCATAGATGCTGGGTCTAACAGGTTACACCTCTGCCCCTAGTCCGTGACTCCTTTGCCTCGCCCAAGAAAAATCACTCCACCGTGCCTCTAATAAGATATCACCCAATGTTCACTGTTCCTCCTGTGCTCCTTCCACGTGGTTGTCTCTATATAAGCCTGTGCATTTCCTAAATAAAGCAGAGGCATTCCAGAAACCTCCCTGGAGTCAGCCTGGTGATTCTGCACCTTACCTTCCCAGTCCGAGCTCCCTCACCTTGTTCCACGAGACAGCTCGTGGATGACAACAGGTAGCTTCTGTCTAAGAGAGACAGAAGGGGGACTGGGAAGTGGGCTGCCCCCTGCAATCTCAACTCTTACCTGAATTATTAGTCTGCCATCTTGTGCTGTAGAGGGACTTATCAGACCCTCCCACAATTCTGTTAGACAATTTCTTAAATAACTCTCTTTCTGTATATCCTATTGAACCTGCTTCTCTGGCAGAGCCTGGCTCACCCCAGGTTTTCCTCTTCTTGAGAGGGGTTTGTTTTCATTGACAAGAAGTCCCTTTATTGGTGCACATTTTCTTGTTAAAACCAACGACCTTGCATTCTGCTGGGCCTCAGAAAAATGGCTTTTTGGTAAGCAAGCGTTGGGTTTTCCTGTACCACCTGCATGGGAAATACTTCTTTGAAGACCACTGTGCTCTGGAGCCCCTGCAGGAGCATGCCTGAGCTGTCAGGTGCACAGAGAAATATCTTTAGTAAGAGCAGGTCATGGAATGAGACTTTTCTGCTACAGCATGGATGGGCAGAGGGGGTTTCCACAAGGACAGCTCTTAAGAATCTCTGTAAAATGCACGACTCCATCTGTCTCCTCTCTCCTCTCTGGCTTCAGATGAGCTAAGCCATTTAAAAATTCCCCAACAAGGGACCCCAGGCACCAGGAGAAGTGATGAACAGATTTTCAATTTGGCTCTGATTTGCATGAATTATTTTTTTTCCTCTGGCAGTTCAAATCATTGTCTGCAGCTACAGGCTGGAGATGGATAGAGAGCTGCCCCAGGAGCAGTGGGTTCCTGATCCGTCTGGAGGCTCTTGGAACTCCTGGCTGTGAAGGTCTAACCTCAGCTTCTCTGGAGAGAGGAGGACAGGGAGAGAGTCTCAGAGCAGTGGCCTAGGGTCCAGGGCAGGACTTTGTGGGCCCACTGGGGATGTAAGCCCTCTCTGGTTCTCCCCTAGAGCTTCTGCCTAGACCATTCCCAGGAGTGTCGAGGACCAGTTTGTTTCTTCCAATCTCCTCTCACAGCCAGGCTGGGGGCCCTCAGACAGCCTGGGATGCCAGAGGCTGTATCTCTAGGTTCTATGTGCATGGTAATTTGGGGCTCTGGAGGTGGTGGGCAACTGTGACTCAGGGGAAGCCTGTGAGGTGGATCCTCTTGGTATTGCATGTTCAGATGGTGGAGAGGTTCAGAAACATGACTAGTTTCCTGGGTAGTATGTGGTAGCACAGTTGGTTTTGCACCCGGTGGTCAGGGTAGAGCCTGCTCCCAACCTGCGAAAATACTGACTCTCTCTCACTGCCTTCTGGCCTTGACATGAGGCCCTTTTTCCTGCCTGGTGTGGGCCCTGTGAGTCTCACATTTCTAGAGGACTCCAGGACTCTCAGAGGCAGCTGCAGCTGGGGTCAAGAACTTGCCAACTCTGAGAGGCGTTACTCTGCTCTGGCTCCTGTACCCCCTCGCCCAGGGTCCCTGCCTGCTACACAGAGCTTCTCCAGTCCCCTCCTGCAGCAGACTCACCCTGCCTGTCCAAGTCTCCCCTGCCCTCTGGCCCACTTGTGGGGGCTGCCCCTACAGCAGTGCTCTCTGGGGATGTTTCCTCTGGTCTGACAGGTGAACTGGATCCTCGTTGTAGAAATAGCATCATAAGGCCGGGGACTTAGCTCAGTGGTTCCGCAGCCTGCTTCTCAAGCCCAAGGTCCCGAGTTTGATCCCCAGTAACAAAAAGAAAAGAAAACAAACAGCAACATAAACCTCACATCCAGATGGGGAAGAATGCCAGGTCCCACGAGTGGCACTGGCGTCCCATGGGACCACACAGTGGGACAGGCGGATGGCTAATGTCTCCTCCACTCTCCCTGCGCCCTTGAGAATGAAAATGTCCCTGGGGATGCAGCCTGGTCTGGATTCCTTCCTGCAGGCCACAGGAAGAAAAGGACCATATCCAGTGGAGGCTAGAGGGAGGCCAGGGAGGTAGAAGTGAGCGAGTGCTAGAGGGGTGGTGACCCTGGCTCTACAGACGGGGAGCACGCAGTGTGAGGAGTGTGAGCCTCTGGCACCTGAGACCTTGGCTTTCAACAACCAGCTGCCACCTTCTTCCTCAGAACATCCTGCTCTGTGCATGCGGTGAGGTGGGAAATACAATGGCCAGGAAGACCACAGTTCGTGTGGAATTGACCAGAAAGAATGAAATTATCAAAACTGTAAGACCAGCCACAGCTGGGGTCTTAGTGAGGGCCTGCAGCTTCCTGGGGAGGGATCCGAGCTGGCTGCTGACTATGGCAGCCACTCCCCACAAGACTGGTCATTCGAGAGATGCAGATGAAAACAACACTGAGATTCCACCTCACCCCAGAAAGAATGGCTGCTGTCAAGAAATCAACCAGTAACAAATGTTGGTGGGGTTGTGGGGAGAAAGGAACCCTTCTCCATTGTTGGTGGGAGTGCAGAGTGGTGCAACCACTGTGGAAATCAATATGGAGATACCTCAAAGAACTAGGATTAGAGGTTCCATTTGACCCAGCCATCCCTCTGCTGGGTATCTCTCCAAAAGAATTAAAAGAATCATATCACAGTGATGTATGCACACCCATGTTTATAGCGGCACAGTTTGTAATAGCTAAAATTTGGAAACAGCCCATTTGCCCATCAGTTAGAGATCAGATAAAGAAGATGTGGTTTTTCTATAAAATGGAATACTACTTGGGCATAAAGAATGAGAAATTTCATTTCCAGGAGGGGGACGGGGCAAGAGCCTGGGTTCCTAGGGACAAGCATTGAATCTCCACTGTGGCTGCTCCACCTCACCTAGTCTCTGCCCTGGGGCCTCCTCTGCACGTGGCCAACCCAAACCAGACAGATTCTGGGGGACAGACGGCAGGAGCAGCTGGTGCCACCGAGGGCTGCAGAGACATTGCCGCAGTCAAGGAGCCTTCAGGGAGGCAGTTGCGGGGCAGGTGTGAATACTGCAAATCTGCAGAGAGGGTTGAGAGGATGGCGCGCCGGAGCTTTGGCCCCAGCAGCACCATGGGGGCCAGGCTCACTAGTGGTTACCGAGGTGGGTAGACAGAAGAATGGAGACTCAAATTCAGAGGGGCTTCAGTAAGGGCTCTCAGAGGCAGCTGTGTGTTACGTGGAGTTTGAGCGCCAGCAACCTGAGGTGGGCGCTTGCGTAGATTTCTCCAGGCAGCTCCGCCGTGCTGTCCTTGGCTCCCCACCCTCTCTGTGCAGGGAGGTGGGCCTGTACTTCATGCTTAATTACAGTGCGCACGAACAGAGAGGAGCTCGTGGGAAGCACCTGTCACTTTGTTTGGGGATAACAGACAGGAAGTCTGGAAAAGTATCTGTTAGATCACGCTGTCCTGCATCTGCCGGAGCCGGTATGAGCAGGATAGGACCATCTGGGCTTTCTTCATCCGGGCCTCAGACGGGGAGGCTGGGTGAGCTCTTCAGGAGGTGGCCGCGCCCCTCGTTGCCTTGCTGGGTTGCTGGTTGTCTCCTCTCCCTGGACCTGGCTCTGTAGGCCCTGTGCTGGGACCCTTGCCGCTGTGCCTGCTGAGCTCCTGCTCTGGCTCAGGCCACCTGCACCCAGTTCTAGGGGTTCAGACAGTGACATCCACGAGGTGCTTGCCCCAGTCATGAAAGACATAAAACGTGCCCACAAAGCTGCACTTCAGGGCCGGGGATTTAACTCCCTGGTTCTGCTGTCTTGCCTTGCAAGGGCAAGTTCCTGGGTTTGATACCCGGTACTAAACTGAAACCAAACCAACCAACCAAACAAACAAAAAACCCACAGAACTCCACTTTCTGGCTCAGTGTGGGAAACGCCCACACAAGAAGTCTCAACAAGGGGCGGGGAGGGGGATCCCCGGAGACGTCCTTGTTGGTGAGCAGCATGGAGGATGTCGCCTGAGCTGGGAGAGGATTCCTCAGGGGGAGGAAAGGGGTGGAGACAGCCTCCTGGGGAGCCGCAGCTCCCTTCTATCCCTCTGTCCGCCTGGCCTCCACCTCATCGTGCTGGCTGTGGATGGGCTCCCTCTAAATATGACCTCGGTCTCTCGTCCCCTTCTGTCTTTTTCTTCTCCCCACTGCTGGGCAGGTTGGTTAGGACTGAGGCTAGGGGAGTAATCCAGTGAGGACAGAGCGAGTCCTGCAGGTGCAAAATGAGAAGTAAGGGCTCGGGTCTGGGAGCCTTCGTCCCCGTGCTCTGGGGATCTCTGACGCGCCGAGTGCCCCAGCTGAGAGCGCCTAAAGGTCACTGCCCCACTGTGGCTGTTTCTCTCTCCTTGTAACTTCAGCCACCGCAACCAGCCTGGCAGCCTGCACATCCACCCCCAGGCCCAGCCTCCTGCGTGTCTCTTTGGGACTGCTTTAAAGTCAGCTTTCCAAAGTGGATTTCACACCCTTCTGATTGACCCCACTGCTCAAGAGCATCTCACAACATGCTCACACCAACCCAGTTCTGATCTCAGTGCTCCTTTACTTAAAACCACTGCATTGGCATAAAATCCCCAGAAACCCAGGCTTGCATGACCTCTGGCTTGTGCGTCCCGACTCCCCACCTCCCCACCAGGAAGCGGCGCTGAGGTGTGCCTTTGCATCTTTGCCACGTTTTTTCCCAGTATAGAGGATCGTCCTCCGAGAAATTGCTGTTCACCTTTCAAAACTCAGCTTCTCACCTCTCCCATGATGTCTTCCTGCCTGGACACACCTCGGCGCAGCCGTGCCCGGCCATCCCTGACCTTGTAAATATAGTTCCTTGCATCGTCAGGTAGCTGTTGTCAGTTACAGGTCTGTGGGGCCCCATCTTCTGTAGAACGTTTGACCCAGAGAGCACATATGAAGTGCTAACCTTTCTGTTTCCCTAGGCTGAACTGAAATAAGCCCTGATCACTGACATGTGTGACTCACTGCCTCTTTCCAGAGGGCTGAGCGTTGGGACCAGCAGCAGCACTGAGATGCATCGCCTGTGCATCCTGGCCAGGTATGAGGTGCTTGGCCTTTTCCTCTCTGGCAGGCTAGAGTGAGCCCTAGAGCTGACCCGGAAGTTCTGAGCATTTATCACCCAGTACTGATGACCACGTATTTCGCCTCCCCTCTTTATGCCTGGAGATGAAGGGAGAAATACAGTCTCGTGTTACCAAGAGTATTTTCTGGTTTATCAGCGCTCCCCTCTCAGCTCCAGCTCAAAATGATTTCTTAGTTCTCAGCTTTTACTCCTCCGATCAAAGTGCCCGAGGCTGTGAGTGTAGGGAGGGCATATGCCCTCCTAACTGGGTCCAGGTGCCCCAGTGCTGCTCTGCTGTGAGATCCTGGGGCCTAGCGCCCTCCTCCGGGCCCATAGCATGGCCTAGGCAGGGTCTGGAAGGGCTGAAGGCTCTTAGCTGTCCGGGGTGCTGGGCGCTGCTCTCCTCAGGAGATTAGAGTTCCTCTGCCTTCCTCCCCCACCTTCCTCCCTGCTCACTCCGCCGTTTTCTCTCTAGTGAATTAAATGCAGAGTCCACGAGCAGGATTTCTCTCTTCAAAGGATCGAATAAACTTTCTCTGTTTTCTCCTTAAAATGTTCCTCACACACTGCAAAAGGAAAACATGCAAACAGACTTTGAGTCAAAGGTGAGAGGAAGAAGGACGAGGCGGAGTGAAGGAACTTCACCTGGGGAGTGGAGCAGCCAAGGCCTGGAACGGACATGTGCGCTCCACGATTTGTGCTCTCCTGTAAATTAATTAACCCAAAGTGCTTGTTTGATTAGTGTGGGGGTGGGGAATTGAGCAGCGAACAGTACCTCGCACCCAGTTTAGAATTATGCTCACAAAAGAGAGGGACCGGAGCATTGCCTTCCTCGATCTGAACTCAGCAGGGACATCTTGGCTGGGACAAACTTTCAGCCGCCATGGCAGAGCGGGGACAGAGGGGCTCTGAGGCTCTCAGGAGAGCAGGCCTCTGGCTCCCCAGCCTTTCCTGCTCCCCGCTGCTCACCTGCACACTGCATAGAAACGTTTGGAATTTCTTTCTTGATGGAACTGTGGATATTTATTACTCGTGAAGGCCCTGGGAGAATTCAGTCTGTACAGTGCCCAGAGAGCCACAGTTGAAGACACTGTCTTCGTTTATAAAGAAAGGAGTTTGTGAGCTGGAGGCTGGGAAGTTGGAGAGCATGTGGACAACATCTGCTCAGCCTCTGGCCCGGGCTCCTTGCTGCATCCTGTCATGGAGGAGGGCGTGAAGAGGACATCGCAGGGCAGGAAGAGCAAGTGTGCTGGCCTCTTTTACGAAACCGCTGCTGCCGTCCGAGGCCTCTCCTCTCACAGCCCCGGCTCACTCACATCTCCTGCCAGAGGCTGCCTCTGCGGACACCTGTAGCATGGATTAGGGCTGAGTTTCCAGCATACGCACTTTTGGGGAGCGCATCAAGCCTGCAGGCCCTGTGACTGATGCTATCACAGGACTCTGCAGGCCCAGCAGTCCCAGGGTAGCAGTGGGCTGAGTTCTTGGTCATTCATTGTTGTTTTTCCCATAGATTTCTTTGGTACCCGGTGAGGCCTATGGATTCATTCTCGGAATAGTGTTTTTAGATATGTAAAATTAAATACATAGGATTACAAAGGAAGCTAATTATACTACTGTAACATTATCAAAATATAAGTAAAACAGATATGTGGTAAAGTCATATATATGCTTCTTTCTTAACTCGTTAAAATGCAAAATCGACGTGTAGGTCTGTCATGTGTTTCAAATAAATATATATTTTTTAATTTTTGGTACTGGGGATGGAATTCAGCACCTTGCACTTGCAAGGCAGGCTTGGTGCCCCTGAGCTAAATCCCAGGCCCTCAAATAAATATTTTGAGAAACCAGAACCTGTATCATAATATATTATAAGTAGACAATGTCTACTATTGACAAGCTGTAGGGATTGTGTTGCTAAACCACTGGCTTTTTGCCTGCATTTGTCACGGAAGAAAATGCTGTAGTTCAATTAGAATCTGCTGAACATGAAGTCAGGCTCTTCCCCCTCCACGTCCACTGCCCTTCTGAGTCCTGTCCATGGACCTTTGGCTGAATCTCTGCTAATGAATAAAAGGGATCCTTGTGGATAAACTGGACGGCCACGGTGGCCTCTTCTGAACCCTTGTAGACGTCCCTCTACTTTTTGGGGTGGAGAGGGTGTCTGCCACTCCCTGAGGACTAGACTGGCTTCCTGAAGTCACTGAGGGTTGTGTTGTTAGGGACTGGAGGAAGCTGGAGGAGAGGAGACATTGAGAACTGTCGGTGTGCGTCCTCTGAGATAAGAAGGACCAGGCTTCGAGCCAAGCTGCGAAGAAGGGAGGGTGGGAACCCTCGCAGGAGCTTGGGGCGCATGGGCCCCTGCACCATTGCTTCCCAGACAGGAGGCTGGCTGCTTAAAGAGAACTGGTCACGTGGTGAGAAGGAGGTGACCATGTTGGTGTCCCAAGAACATTTTCATCTTTCTTAGCTGCTATTGAGGGGCCCTGGGTGGGTGACTAAACTCCTCTGCTTGCGAATGAGAAACTGCTTCAGGTAAGATTTAATTTTACTAAAGAAAAATCTGCAGGTGATGTTTTCTTTTCAGTTCCTAATTTTTGTTCTTGAAAACAGAGCCCAAACAATACACGGAAATGTTTCCCTAAAATCTTAGTGTTTCTAGCAAAGACTCAGAACCTAGTGCATCAGTCTGGGCTGAGACCAGCAGGCCGAGGCAGGGTGCCTCCATTCTTTCCTTTTCACACCTGGCTGAACCCCACCGGAGGCTTGTGAGTGGTGAGTGTGAACCTTAGCCAGTGCCCATGGGCCTTGTCCTTCCTCATGAAGAGCCTGTGTGTATGTGTGTATGTGTGTGTGTGTGTGCACATTTGTGCAAGACTTGACTTTGCTCTTTTCCTGGCCATACCCCAAGATGTAAGCGGAGCTTGTCTCTCCTTGTAGGCATGTTACCTTTCTCTTTGGGACCTCTGTGTTGGTGTTCTTTGTTTGTGCCACTGTGCTGGGCACTGCTAGGCAGGAGAGAAGGTGGGTGCCAGAGTAGACCAGAGACAGACTGCCATCAAGGGCTGGGGTGGAATGTGGGAGACAGGAGGGGCACTCGGGAAATGCCATACCGTGGGCTCCATTGATAAGAGTATCAAGGTGAACTTGAGAATTGCGGCCCAGATGGTGATGAGAGGTGGCCAGTTATGAGGGGGACATTGCAGGGAGGGTTTTCTTAAAGGCTGGTTATACTCGCAGAGCTGGTAAATGTGAGGGACATGGGTGAAGGGGTGTCTTTGAATCTCACCACTGTCAACACCCTCGGTCAACACACATTCACATATGCTGTTGTTTTATTAGCTCTTTCTGAACAACTGTGACATAGCTTAAATCATGATTCCCATGCAAGTGTGAAAGGAAAAGGAGCCCAAAGAAGGGAATGGCTTACCTCAGGCCTGCGGGTCTCCGGGTGACAACTCAAGCAGGAGGAGTGGGGACAGGGGTCTCAGGCAAGAGCTTGGGATGCCGGGATGAGTCTGGATTCCAGTTTCTGAGCCATCGTGGACTTGTCAGTCCTTCTCTTGGAGGGGACAGACGCATCCTTCCCTGTTATAACTCCTGACAAATCTTCATCATTCAATCCCCACCGCTACCGTAATCCCCAGTTTATAAAATGAACAATGAGGAAACAGACCCAGAGAGGGAGTGAGAGTTGGCCAAAGTCACAAAGCTGTCCAACAGCAGAAGTGAGACTGGAGTTCAGGCTGCTGGGCACTTTGACAGCCCTGCCCAACATGAAGAAAGCCTGAGTGGTGAGTCTGGTATATAATTTTAAATTTTCTAATAGTCACATTAAAAAAACACTTTCAAAATAAAGGGGGAAATTTATTATAATAATGTATTTTCCTTTACCCAATGCGTGCAAAATATTAACATTTTGACATGTAACCAATCTTCAAAATTGTTAATGTGATATTTTATGTTCTTTTATCTTAGGTCTTCAAAATTGGGTGTGTCTTCCACACTGGCAGCACATTTTAGGCGAGACTAGCCTCATCTCCACACTGAACAGCGACACACAAGCGATCACTGCACTTGTGCCTCTCTGTGGGCTGAGTGCCCCTTGGCTGATCTTCTCGTGGACGCAAAATGCTTGAAGGTGGGGTTGCAGGAGCAATCCCTGGGCAGCGAGGCTGTGACTGTGTTGCACAGACACCAGAAGAAATGCAGAGGGAGGCAAACCAGCAACACCAAGACCTCTGTGCAGACGGGAGCAACTCGAGGCCACCTTCTCTTTGAGGTATTGGAGCATGGGTTCCTGGGTTTTGCGAGTGCCCTGGGTGCTGTGAAGGTGTCTCCTGGAAGGCTTCCTCCACCCTTTGTGTGCAGGGATGAGCCTGGCTCAATAAGGGCCACCACCATGGAGTAGCCACACCTGAAGGTGAAGATCAAGGCAAGAAGGTAAAAGAAAAATGGAAGTGGCTCCAATTTGCTCTGTTTGCTTCTGCATCTCATCATCTTGCATTTTGTTGGTCACTCCATTGTTTACTTGCTTATATTCCATTTTATTTCTCAAATGGACAAAGTATAGTTTACAAAGATAGTTGGGTTATAGCAAGACGACTTGAAAAACTCAAGAAAGGATGGTAGAGAAGTAAAAATAGAAAAGACAAATGTAGTCAGGCATGAGGTAAGTTCAGAAAACGCATCCCTGAAGGTCTCTCATATTTGGTGGTGTGGCTATAACTGGGATATGCTGTGCCTTGTATCACAATACAGCTAAGTGTGTTCTCTCTGGGACTCCTTTCCCCTTCTGCTGGCCACAAAGAGAAGGCTAAAGTTTGGGCCCAGAAGAGGGTGGAGCCCCAGCAAGGCAGAATCCTGGGCTCCTGGAGTCCCGCAGGAAGGACACACAGCCGGAGAATCTGTAATGGACTGTGACACACACGAGAAACCAACTCCTGCTTTGTCAAACCACTGGAGTCAGGATTTATTGGTTAGAAGAGCTGTTAGCATTGCCTCAACTGATACAGTTCCCCTTGGGAAATGCTCCTGATGCTTCCCAACAGAGAGGAATGGAAAGGTTTGAAAGGCTGCAAGTTCAAGGTTATGTTCCCCACAACTACCAGGCAGCACATCTCTGCTTCAGGGCTGTCGGTGGGGTGGGGCCTTATGTCTTAACATTCATTCAAAATAGTGTCACCTTACAAGAACTCCTGCCTGAGTAGAAAGCTCTTCTCCCTCCTTTTGGAGATAAGCCAAGCAGTATACAGGAGTGGGGCCAAGATTCTCTTCAGAAATCATCTTGGTGCTTCCTTCAAACATGGAAAAAATGATAGTCAAGGCCTTACACTCTCATACTGTGCAAAATGCTACTGTAATTTTTAATTTTTGCCTGAAAAAATAGCTCAAAATAGCTGTAACCCTAAGATCGCCATGGCCCTTAAAAACAAAACGAAACAAAATTTAAGACAGTGAACTTGGCCAAATATCTTTTTTCTCCTCCCCTCCCCCCTCTTCTTCCCCTCCTCCGCCTCCTCTTTCCTCTTCTTCTTCCTCTTCCCCTCCCCTCCTCTCCCCATTCCCTTCCCCTTCCTCTTCTCCTTCTTCTTTTTCTTCCACTTTGTGGAGGCATGGTTAGCAAATAAAAAGCTGTGCACAGCTGTGGTACCCAGTTCAGTGAGTTTGGGGCTAAGTGTGCATCCATGAAACCATCACCACCCTCATGGCCATAAACACATCCACCGCCTCTCAAAGTTTCCCTTCCCCTTTATTATTATCAGCATCACTGTATTTTGTTATAAAACACCTAAGATCTACCCTCTGCAACAATTTTAAGAGTACAGCACAGTACTGTAGTTATGATACTAAATAGCATAGATCGCTAGTATTTATAAAGTTCTGTACAGCTTGTACAACTGAACTCTTTGACCAGCACCTTCCTATGCCCTTCCGCCAAGCCCCTAGCAACCAACATTACCCTCTCTGTTTTTGTGGTTTTCAGGTTCTACCTGTAAGTGGGATGACGCAGCATTGGGCTTTCTTTGTCTAGCTTATTTCACTTAGCATAGTTACCTTCAGATTCACCTATGTGTTGCAAGTAACAGGATTTTCTTCTTCTTTGAAGACCACTTTTTATTGTATACATATGCCATATTTTCTTTATTCATTGATGGCCACTTACGTTGTTTCCCTGCCTTGGTCACTGTGAATAATGTTTCGAAAACGTGTGAAATTTTTGAGGTCCTGATTTAAATTCATTTAAAGGTCTCACATTTCCTCATTTCAAATATATTACAGAGCTATGATAGTCAAAACAATGTAATATTGGCATAAAAATAAATAATAGCTCCATGGAACAGGACAGAAATCCTGGAAATCTATACATACAAAGTCAAACAATCAGGAAAGGGGAGTCTCTTCAATAAATGGTATAGAGAAAAATAGATACTCACATGCAAAAACATGAAAGTCGATACTGTCTCATACCATCCATAAAAAGCAATTGACAGTGAGTTAAAAATTTAAGCTAAGACCTGAAACTGTAAAACCCCTAGAAGAAAACAAAACGAAAAAAATCCCTTGATCTTTTTGGCATTTGTCTTGGCAATTAATTTTGGATATGAAATCAAAACCACAGGCAGCAAAAGCAATGTTTTAAAAAGTGGATTGCATTAAACTAAAAATCTGCTCTGCAAACTAAATAAATAAACAGAAACCCAAGGCAGAACCTGATTAAAAGGTAGGCAAAGGACTTGAAGGCGTGCAAACTGCACGCGCAGGTCTATGAAAAGCTGCCGGTCGTCACCAGTCCTGAGGGAAACGTAAATCAAAACCATAATGAGAAATTACCTCATGCCTCTTAGGGTGGCTGTTATTAAAAACAAAAGGACAAGAGAAAACGTTGGCAAGGATGTTCAGTCATCGTAGGAAACAGTAAAGAGGTTCCTAAAGAACCTGAAAATACAGCTACCGGGTCACCCAGTAATACCACTTCTGAACCTGTGTCCAAGTCTCTTTCTTGATGGATGAAAAATGCCTCCCTGGGCCAGAGTTACCGATGTGCAGTCTGTGTGTTCGACAGCAAGCAGAGGCTGGTGCATTTGCATATAGCTTGTCTCTAGGAAACACGGTTGGGCTCCTATTTTTACTCCCGGTGTAAGTATGCAGGCACCAGCCCAGGGAGCAGAAGCAACGTCCCCGTCCTACAGGGTTATTTTCTTTTTTTTTTTTTTTTTT